AGTCTTGAAGTTAGGCAGAAGGTAGAAGGCCTAACATACAGGAAACAGTGGAATCACTGTATTTCATCAAATGTATGATGTCACTGATTATAAGACATATTTTGTGCATCACTAAAAGGGGAAAATGGTACCAATTATGTTCTGTGTTATCTCTTTGATTTTGAAACTTTATTTAAAAAGCTCCTTTATATTCATTTGGTTGTAAAAGAAGACAAATCATCAACAGGCACATGAAAATATGGTCAACATCACTAATTATCAGGTAAATGCAAATCAGACCCACAAAGAGCTGTCACTTTATACCTATTAGAATGGCTGTGTGTTAGTGAGGACATGGAGAAAAGGAAACGCTTGTATTCTCTTGGCAACGATGTAAATTAGCAAAGTCACTGTAGAAAACACTATAGAGGGTCATCAAAAAATTTAAAATAGATCTACCAAGTGATTCAGGAAGTCTGCTAACTCGAGAAGATATCCACACCCTCATGCTCATTTCAAGACTTTTACAACAGCAAAGACATGGAAACAACCTAAGTGTCCAATGATAGGGACAAAGAATCCATATCGTTGATGGATAAAGAAAATGAATGAATTGATAAAAAAAAAAAAAGAATGTGTGAGTGTATACCACACACACACACATATGTATGTATATATATTTCAGCCATTGACATCTGCCATTTGAGACAATATGGATGGAGCTTACTTCAATTATGCTAAGTGAAATAAGTCAGAGAAAGATAAAGTGAACAAAATGGATGAAGGGGATCAAAAGGTACAAACTTTTAGTTATAAAATAAGTTAAGTGCTAGAGATTTAATGTACAGTGCCGCCATAGTGACTAGTTTATAATACTGTACTGTGTATTTGAAAATTCTCTAGCCAGAGAACTTGCCAGATGTGAAACTGGATTCTGAAAGACTCATTATAAACTAAATAATACCTCCACTTAATAACTGAATGCCAAATGGCCCAGGTTTTATACAAAGTGAAAGTGAAAGTGTTAGTTGCTCAGTCCTGTCTGACTCTTTGTGTCCCCAAGGACTGTAGCCCACCAGGCTCTTCTGTCCATGGAATTCTCTAGACAAGAATACTAGAGTGGGTAGACATTCCCTTCTTCAAGGGATCTTCCCAACCCAGGGATCAAACCTGGGTCTCCTGAATTGCAGGCAGACTCTTTATGGTCTGAGCTACCAGGGAATCCAGGTTTATACAAAAGTAACATTGCATGTTATATGTTTTTGTTTTAGTTCTCAGAGAGAGAAGTAAAGAATTTTATTTTTTAAATACCCTCTGGTTCACATAGTGAAAGGGGGAAAAAAAGGACATTTCTGTTTTCTCATAAAAAATAACCCAAAAAGCTATGATTTACTTTGAGTTTTCATTTAAATCATCCAAGTCATGGTACTTATACAATATCTCCTCCAAAAAAACAACCAACTGCCTGCAAGAAAACAGAAAGAGAACAAGCCAAAAAGAGTATGGCTCTTCCAGTTAGGAACAATATTTAAGATTCTTATTTCCCACCACCTTTACCATACAGACCACTTTGCAGCAGTGACTGGGGACTGGATTTCATTACTAAACCTAAGGTCACAGGTGGTTTTGTATTGAAGCATAATTAAATTGTGCAGAAAGAATTAAAGTGGTTTAGCAAATAAGGCCTTCTTAATTCAGGCTGAATAGGACAGACAGAATGCGGTGCCATGTTCAGGCTACAACAAAGCAATGGCTGGGCCCACGGAGATTAATCTGGAGAGCAATCACTTAATGATCCCTGACTATGAATACTTAGTTGAAATTATTCCTCAGTCACCCTGGGATGAGGAAAGCAATCACTCATAATTAACAGGTCACTTTTTTTGCAGGAATATTTATGCAGGGCATGGCGAGGATGTCATAAGAGAAACCTCTCCTTGTTTAGGGAAAAATTGCTATGTTAGCTTGGGATGAGCATAATGATCAAAAACTATTAAAGAGAAACGGAATTTATTAAGGATGGAGAAGTCTACTTAATTGCATATTTCTACATGTGAATTTTGACTTTGGGGGAAGGGCGGGGATGAAAAGTCCCCCTGCTGGGGAATAGGTAGCAGGGTAGTGAGAAACACTTTTCTCATTTTGAGAGCAATCTTTTAGACTTTGAGGAAAGACACAAATAAGCACACTTGATACTGATTGTTCCCCAAAGAACAAGAGAATCTAAACATAGAGCAAATCCTACCCCTCTCAGATTGCAAAAAACAAAAACAAAAAAACAACTGTATCTCCAGTTCAATCCTGATGTGCCATTTAAACCACTTCTCTGTTGTGCTATGCTGTGCTTAGGTGCTCATTCCTGTCCGACTCTTTGCGACCCCATCGACTGTAGTCCACCAGACTCCTCTGTTCATGAGATTCTCCAGGCAAGAATACTGAAGTGGGTAGCCTATCCCTTCTCCAAGGGATCTTCCTGATCCAGGAATTGAACCGGGGTCTCCTGCATTGCAAGCAGAACTTCACCAGCTGAGCTACCAGGGAAGCCCAAAACACTTCTACATTCCCCAGTTAGATACTTGTCAGGGAATTAAAATCTTCAAAATTGCCTCCTAAAGCTGCACTTTTTTTTTTTTTTGGACATTTCCTTCAAAATATACTATGCAACACTGATTTGTAACAATATTTTATATGCATTATGTGTGGAGTGTGTGCATATATATGTGTGCAGTATTAATTGTTAAATAAACCCATGAGCAAGTGGGAGAGACCAGCTGTTGACTTATTGGATAGGAAAATGTAATAATTTTTACTAGTGTACCAGAAACACTTAAATATAATGATTTGCATGATTATTCACCATGTAAGGCTTTTAAAAGATTCAGGCCACCAACTGGATTACTTACACTGCTGAATTCTAAATTTTTCAGTAGAGATATAAATTTTCCTATTGCTTTACTGCTAATCAGGAGCAGAGTTTAACATAGCTATTAGTTAATTTATTTTTTAAAATACATGCTGTTCTGGTATAGTACAAAGGATTCAGAGTATGTAAGTATAAACCACAATTTTTAATACTGTTTAATTGCTTCCTACCTAGTTCAAATACCTTATTTCAGGTCGTCATCAAGTAGGTGATGAGAGGTAGGTTTTGAGTAACACAATTAAACTAATTTACATTCACATTGGGTCATAAAGAAAACTGAGTGCAAAAGAATTGATGCTTTTGAACTGTGGTGTTGGAGAAGACTCTTGAGAGTCCCTTGGACTGCAAGGAGAACAAACCAGTCCATCTTAAAGGAGATCAGTACTGAATATTCATTGCAAGGGCAGATGCTGAAGCTTAAGCTCCAATACTTTGGCCACCTGATGTGAAGAACTGACTCATTGGAAAAGACCCTGATGCTGGGAAAGATTGAAGGCAGGAGAAGAGGGGAGGACAGATGATAAGATGGTTGTATGGCATCACTTACTTAAGGGACATGAGTTTAGGCAAGCTTTGGGAGTTGGTGCTGGACATTAACGGCTGATGATCATTTACTTATGCAAGAAATAAAGTAACATTTAAGGTGGATTCATGGGGTTCCCTGGTAGCTCAGATAGTATAGAATCCACCTGTAATGCGGGAGACCTGGGTTCGATCCCTGGGTTGGGAAAATCCACTGGAGGAGGGCATGGCAACCCACTCTAATATTCTTGCCTGGAGAATCCCCATGGACAAAGGAGCCTGGTGGTCTACAGTCCATGGGGTCTCAAAGAGTCAGACACTACTGAGTGACTAAGTACTGCACAGCACAAGGTGGATTCATATGAATCTAAATAAATGTGTTAAATTAACATCTAAAGGTAGTTTGAAACTATTCAATAGGCAGAGATAGATTCTGGAATTGAAAGCTACTTTTAATACAGTTCATCCTCTGCCTTCCTAGTCAGTTTTCTCTACCGATTGTTACTTTCCCTGGCTTCTCTCTTAAGCTATATACATATATTTGGAGTGCGTTTTGTTTCTTTAATATAAAAATATTACATCTATGTTTGCATCTGTGTGCATACTCAATCTAAGTAGCTAGAGAGAATTAATTAGTTATGAGTTAAGAAGGACATCCTTTACAAGAGTGAATTTCCTATGGACAAAGCCTCTGTTATCAGAACTAGAAATAAACCGAAGCTAAGGTACTTCCCAATTTGCCTGAGACAGACCCTGTTTACATCTGGTGCCCCACTTTCCAGCCCAGTTTTGCATTTGCTCCTGACTTTCTCCATTTTAGGGACTTCCCTAGTAGTTTAGCTGGTCAAGAATCTGCCTACCGTGCAGGAGATCCCCGGTCGATTCCTAGATCGTGAAGATCTTCTGGAGAAGGACAGGCTGCCCACTCCAGCAGTCTTTGGCTTCCCTGGTGGCTCAGCTGGTAAAGAATCGACCCGTAATGCGGGAGACCCGGTTCGATCCCTGGGTTGGGAAGATTCCCCGGAGAAGGGAAAGGCTACCCACTCCAGCATTCTGGCCTGGAGAATTCCATGGACTATATCGTCCATGGGGTCGCAAAGAGTCGGACACGACTGAGCAGCTTTCAGTTTCCTTCATTTTAAAATGTGATTCAAATTGCCTTCTTTTGGAAACTATGGAGAACTCGGGCTGGGTAGTGCTAGGGAGGTCTCCAGCATGCTGGCCCTGCCCTGCTCGCGGTTGGTTTTCTCCCCTTTGGTGGTCACCTATGCTATTCCTGAACCACCCACCTGGCTGGTTCTCCAGGTCTCCATTCATACAGAGGCCTCCCTCGAGGTAAGCAGCTGCAGCGCTGTCATGTGACCTCATGCCACTTGGGCTTGCCCCGCCCATCGCAACTTGCCCCGCCCACCATGACTTGCCCCGCCCATCGCAGCTTGCCCTGCCTATCGCAACTTGCCCCGCCCATCATGGCTCGCTCCACCCATCACGGCTGGTTCCCTGGTTCCCAACAGGGAGGATACAGTCGACCGAGACGACATATACTTGGCGTGGGGCAGAAGCACATGTAGTGGAATTGGTGTCACAATCCTAGGTGGTGAGCAGAGTTGTGTTGTTACTGCTAATTACACTTCAACAAGCCGTTATGAGTTTGGTTGACCTCCAGTTTCCATCTAGCAGTGTGTGAAGTACATACATGAGAAACAAAGTTCCTACTTGAACTCTTGGTAAAATAAGCAGAAATGAGCAGAGATGACGCAGATCTCTTTCTCCTGATGCTTTCTAGTCACATATGTGTACACCACACGTGTATCCTCCACTTTCGTTCCAGGGACCAAATACATTCATTTGTGTAAATGCCCTTGAAACAAACAAGGGGCCAGAAAGGTGAGTGCTGCTGCACCCCTCTGGCCGCCAGATGCTTGGTTTAGCGGCCAAAATTGCCTTAACCTGTGTGCCTTAACCTTCAGCCACGAGCTGGACATCATTCTCCCAAAGAGCACATAGTATATATATATATATGTATGTATGTATTTAGCCCTGCAGGGTCTTAGCTGCAGCACTGAGAATTTTTCTTTTTATCTTGGTTGTAGCATGTGGGATGCTATAGTTGCAGCATGCAAACTCTTAGTTGTGGCATGTGGGATCTAGTTCCCTGACCAGGGATGGAACAAGGCCGTCTGCATTGGGAGTGTGGAGTCTTAGCCACTGGACCATCAGGGAAGTCCCCAGTGAGCACGTTTAATGAGAATCAGGAAAGTAAAGAGTGACTTTACATGAAATATGTTTTGGAAATACAGGTTGAACATGTATGAGACAGTCTATGTAGAGAATAAATGAATGTACTTGATAACTGGTTTTGTCATTTATTTTAAGATATAAATCTATAAATATTTATATTTTTGCTCAGTAACTTATTTTAAGATTTTTTCCAGAGATCCTTTCGACAGAGTTGACCTTTTGAAATGAATATTTAGTAAAAAATGTATGTATAGTATTTCATTTCTCAAGAAATTTTTGTTGTAAATGTGTGAACTGAACAAAATGCTTGTTGGCATTTATCATCCACCCTGGAGGATGTAGCGAAATCACTGACCATATAAAAACTGGCAGCAGCAGCCACATTAAAAAAGTGGTCAGATTTAACTTGTGTTACTGCATAAGGTACATTTAAAAATCATTCTGGGACTTCCCTGGTGGCCCACACTTTCATTACTGCCCATCATCAAAGAGTTTAGAAATGTCTGAGCTGTTGAAATACTACTTGTAAAAGTCAACCAGTATATCTCTTAAAGGTACTGTATAACTTTTGAAATGAGTTTTCTCAATTACAGTGGTATATTGTTCAAGGTAAGTTGAAATCTCTAGTTAAAGTAATCAACTAATACAGTGCAAAAGCTTCAGATTTTCAAACTTTTAGAAAATTGCAGTTATTGAAAAAAAAAGTATATATAAACAGGAAGTCATTGACAAGTACCCCTAAAAAGCAAGTGAATAGCTAATAAATTAAGAGCACTTATACCACACAATATTTAATATTGAAATTCAATAATATAAAGATTCTTTAGAATTTTTCAATCTCAGACAAATCTTTTAGTTAGAGCTCCATTTATTAATTGTATAAATTTATATTTCATTCAAAAGGCCTGTAACTTTGAAACTTCAAAATTTGATAAGCTGTATTTTTTGAAGTCATAAATATAAGCAACTGATAAAAAAAAAAAATCCAGAATTAGAGCAGTACCTATAGTATATTTAAATGAGATATTTACATACATTAATATGAATATATGCAGGGAGGCAGTGACTGTGGAAGTATTTTGACTGAAATAGTTACATTTAATATAAATACTGCTGAAATATTCTCTATTCACCAGATTTTATCTTTTAGTAGTCACCTCAGAACCTGAAAGATCATTTTCTCAATTCAGAAATATCAAGAATTATGTACTATGGGAAAGAAAAGTTTTAAAATTACAAGTTTACTACCTATAAGACACATTTTGAAGGAAATGATAGGCAATATTTTGATAAAAATAAAACTATATTTAAAAGCATTTTTCATGAAAATACAGGCAGAGCTAAACTGATTTACTTATATAAGTAAAACAAAATAACTTGTGCTTGGTTTGTTTTTTTAGTGTTCAGAAATCAGTATATAGATTTTAAAATTGTGCTTTCATGTACTCAGAGGTACAGGTTTTTACTTTCAGAAATAATTTTAGTCTTGAAAATACTTTTCAGTAGGATGATAGACATAATGTAAGTGACATAAGTAAGTAATATAAAATAATAAGTGCAATAAAACCAAAAATTATTATTTTTAGCATCCCTTTTTAAGTTTTTTTTGCTAAGTTTGGGTTATAATTTATAGCATTTTCTATGTATAAACCCCATACTGAGAGCAATCAGGGATATTAACCAAATAAACAGAGCTTACAATGATAAAAGAAATCCTAATTACTCATATCCCCTGAGTTACTTTTTCATCAATTCTGTCTTTATTATTAGAGGCCCTAGGATGATCCTGCCTCCAAATACTCTGGGTTGCCAAGAGCTCAATGTTCTGCCAAATATATACACAGACAATATATTCTGTTATCATTTATTGAACATGCATATACAAATAGCATGCAGGCATTTGAGTGTCAATTACATTGTTTTTCTAAGTTAAATATTTACATTTTCATTCTCAATTCCAGATTTTGCTTATGAAACCTTCAAAACAAGGTGAGTAGACCCTAAATTTGCCCATTAGAAACACTGAAGTAAGAATTCAGTAGTAGTAAATTTGGAAAAGCAAATCAAACATATTCCCACCCTCCTCATTAACCCATTTACCTCTTTATGTGCCAGTTAGAAAAAACTACTTTCTTTGTTGTTTTGAAGTAGATTTTATTTTCAGAGTAGTTTTTTGGCTTCACAGCAAAATCACACAGAAGATACAGATTTTCTACTTCCTTCCCACCCCCACATACATTTGTGGTTGCTCTTTAGTCACTAAACTGTGAATTTTTGCAACCCCATGGACTGTAGCCCGCCAGGCTCCTCTGTCCATGGGATTTCCCAGGCAAGAATGCTGGAGCAGGTTGCCATACCCTTCTCCTGGGGATCTTCCCGACCCTGGGATGGAACCGAGTCTCTTTTTTGTCAGGTGGATTCTTTACCACTGAGCCACCTGCATGACCTCCCCCATAATCACCATCCACCACCAGAGTGGAAACAGCTACTTTTAATCTATGCTTTAAGATACGTTTAGCCTAACTGTGTTAAAAGTAGAATCTTTGCACTTTTTTTTTTTTGTAATCCTTTTCCATTAAAATCTTCTTAGCTGACTTTCTCCCCACTATCCCTTAGAGCTTAACTAGCAAGTCTGTTTAGAGCAAAGGATTGGAGAGAAAAGCTTATTCTGGCTTTCTTTGTTAGCAGAGTATTTACACTGCCAAGGGCATCCCAGCCTCTCCTAACTATTGATTTTAATGGATTTTGTTGGTCATTCCTAGTCCATCTGTCTGCAATAAAACAAAGATCCCTTCAACCCCTATAGGAATTTCAGAGCTATGTAAACTCCGAAAATGCCTCCTGGGAGATGACCTCCCTTTTTGGCAAAGATTAGCGTGTTTCTCTGGGATTGATTAGTGCTCACCCAAGCTTTGGAATAGCTACTTTTCTCACAACTCTTAAAAAAAAAAAAAAAAGATTTCCAGTGAGATACCCCCCTTACCAATCCCAAAATGCTGGGACAATGATATTCAAATACATGGACTAATGAACATCTCTCTAAGGAGATCTATTGTAGTGGGACCAAATTTACCTTTAAAAACTCAGAGACAACATCCTTGCATCCCATCTTCACTTGCTCTGAAAGGGCATCTCCCTTTTTAACCTTCTATTCATTTAACACCCTCCTAAGTGGCTCAGTGGTAAAGAATCTGCCTGCCAAGCAGGAAACTTGAGTTCAATCCCTGGGTCAGGAAGATCCCCCTGGAGAAGGAAATGGTAGCCCAACTCCAGTGTTCTTGCCCGGCAAATCCCATGGGCAGAAGAGCCTGGTGGGCTACCACCCATAGGCTCTCAAAGAGTTGGACATGACTTAGCAACTAAGAAAGAGCTGTAAGTACATAAACCTTGTTTTCCTTCTATGTGTCATATCACCAGAAAACCAAAAGAGAGTGGAAGAATTTAACTCTGTGGATTCTTTGGCTAAAGTCAAATGTTGTTCCTCATTCCCTAACCCGGATTATAATTCCGCGATGTTTCTGCACTCAAATCTTGGAAGGTAGAGGGGGATGTTTCCTTCTCAATTACCATGGAAGCATCCAGAAGTCTTTGGGCATCTATCCCAGGGCAAAAAACAGTGGAGGCTTGAAAGTTTAGAAACGGGTATAAATAAATTTCAGCTCTTCTATAGAGACTGAAACTCCGAAACCACCCCAGACTCTCTCTCACTTACATATTCAATTCTTACTTCTGCAACCCAGAGGGAGCAAAATTGACTCCTGGCTCCAGAGCTGCAAGCTTTCAGTTTCCAGAAAACTCATGGGCTTAAGCTTAAGGAAAACAAATGCCAAGATGCTGTAGCACCCATGATTTATACTTCCATTCATTATTCTTAATATTTTTCTTCTCTATCATAAATGTCTAGAAACTGTCACATGAAATCTAAGGAATGTTATTGCTCAAACAACAAAGGGAATAAAGCAACTTAATGTACTTTATCACTTTATGGGAGGCAAACTAAAGTGAGTAAGTACCATGCATCATAAAAAGAACCATATTTTTAAAAAGCCAAATAGAGAGGTGCTCATAAAAATGCAAGCTTTCCTAGTTCACTCAGTCCCCTGCAGAGAAAGAAAAGGGAAGCATTGAAGCTGAGGGACTTGGTCCTGTGAGCCAGGGGTCATGCACAGTTGTCTAGATACCACTTTTCACCCTTCCCTTCTAAGATCACACATGCCTGTGTGGGACAGCTAACATCGTCTGGAGGACTATGTCAACTTAGAGGAGGTGAACAAGAGGTCTTTGGAGCCGGATATCTTCAGCATGAAAGGTCTGTCTCTTTTGGTGGCTGAGTCTGCCCCCAGCCTAGTCATCTCCCAACTCACTTTACCAACGCAGCCACAGTCTGTGAAACACTTCCAAGGTCCAGACAGCGATCGCCCTTCAGCTGCCGGTCAACGAGGGGGTAATCAGGTATGCATGGTTAACGGACAGCGGCTGCAGAGAGGGCATTGGCTTCCTTCTGGAGGGACTGTCCAGTTGCCTTACCATTATGACAGTCAGGAGATACTCTGTCCTCCCTATGTGTGCTTGCTAAGTCACTTCAGTCGTGTCCACAGCTCTTTGTGACCCTATGGCCATAGCCTTCCAGTCTCCTCTGTCCGTGGGATTCTCTGGGCAAGAATACTAGAGTGGCTTGCCACGCACTCTTCCAAGGGATCTTCCCAACCCAGGAATTGAACCCGCATCTCTTATGTCTCCTGCATTGGCAGGCAGGTTCTTTACCACTAGTGCCACCTGGGAAGCCCTCCCTATGGAATGAAGCAACGACATTCAAAACCATCTTGATTTAGGAGCATAAACTGGGATTCCTATGACGATTTCAAGAGAACAGGGTCAAGACTTCTAGTTTGAAGTCATTCCGTATGGGCTTGTTTTTCAACTGCTGGTTTTGCTCGTATTCCTCTTTAATGTCTGGGCATCTACAGGATTGTGCTTCTAAAAGAAAAAGACAGATATTTACCTTGATGCCCCGAATACAGAGTTGACTGGGCAGCTCATCATATTCTGCATATCTAAAAACACGATATATATTTTTTGAGGGAAAAAAACCTCCATAGTAGTTCATTGAACATTAATAATTTTCATGGGAGAATTCTCTCATTAAATAGTGAAATATGTACATGTATATTGCTGCTAACTTACAGTCCAGTGGGGTAAAAGGGAAAAGTAGACAGTTGAAAGAAGCTAATGACAGGAAATATGTCTGAAGAGGGAAGAAGTGGAATGTCTTATCTGTGATGAAACCCAAGGGAGTAATTTGGATTTCATTTTGAAAATATTTTTTCTTGTCTTTTCCAAAGGGAGTGCAGTTGAACATATTTTCCAGCAAAAATAAAACAATGTATTGAATGCTGGGACTGTGCATAACACTTGTATGTTAGAGGCTGGCATTGAGAAATACTGGGTTGGCCACAAAGGTCATTCAGGTTTTTCCGTAAGATATTATAAGCTTTATGACCAACCCAATAAAAGGGTGTATATAGGCATAAAATTTTAGTAAGTCTTCTTCATTGGAAAAAGTGATTAAATTTTATTGTAAAAAATGCTTTAAAAATGCAGTTTCATATTTGGCCAGCAGAAGGTAGGCTGTGCAAAGGGCTGAATTACAAACTAGCCTGGCACATGGGTCCATAAATCAGTTTGGGTAGTAGGTTGAGTTATGTTCTTAATCAGGGAAGGATACTTTCACTTGAAACTATTCTTTCTCATATTTCTAGTAGTCGCTCTTATTTATGGGCGTGCTGGAATCTGGCCAGAGCTTTTCCCCTTGGTAAAATGACAACATCTTAATTAGGAATGTTTGGTCTGTGGAATGAGTTGCCAGAGCACCGTCCCATTGTTCTAATGCACAGACATCCATCATGAGCCTGCAACCAAACCCATAGCGTAGTGGTAGAAGCAGAGGGCTGGAAGACATCTGAATCATTTTTTGGATTCCAGAACTGCCCAGTTATATTTTTAAAAAGGCAAATCGTCCTCTCTCTGGAACTCAGTATATTATCTTTCAAGTGGCTATCCCAATTCCTAGTAGAATTGTGAAAATTAAATAAATTTAAATCAAAGAAATAAGTTCTCCCCATTAAAGGTATGGGCTAAACAGATGTAATGTTGATACTAATCTTCTCTGGAGCAAAATATTATAATTCTCAGGTGAGCAAAATGAATGTTATGTTATGATTTTAGCTGTTACTTCCTTAGCAGTATAATATAAAATCTGAATTTCTTATAGGCTTGCAATCTACTCATCTTAAAAGTCACAGAGAATGCATGCTATGTGCTCAAGAAATATTTGTGACTGCAAAGGAGAAGACTTCATAGCAAAATAAAAACAAGCAAAAACTCTGAGAATACTACAAAATAACCATGAGAGGTACATGGAAGAGCAAAACTTTCCCTGTGAGTATCTGAACATTACATTATATCTTATAAGAAAATGAGCAAGGGTCTAAGAAAAAGCTCAAGATGTTATTTCCAACATCCCATGTATAAAGGAACAGAAAAGTATTTCTTGTTTGTTATATATCTTCTAAGAATTTCTTTGGACTTTAAAGGAAGCTTAAACTGGTGTGTGTGTGTGTATGTGTGTGTGTGTGTGTGTCTGTGTGTGTGTGTCTGTGTGTCTGTGTGTGTGTATCCTGTATGGAATTGTGTGTGTATTGGAGGTGGGAAGAGTTCACAATTCAGGGTAATATGAGAAAGTGCTGGTCTGTATCAAATTGCAGTGATTTCAGAAATAAGGAAAATTCTAACTTTCTGACACACACACTGGGCTGCACATCTTATGACAAAATATTTTGTTATTATGAAGATTGACACTTGTCAAACTTTATTCAAAAGTATTTTACTCTTCAGGCCTGCCACCCTTGTCAAATCCTTCAGGAATGCAAAGCAAATCTTCCTTCAGAAAGACCTAGACACACATGAAGGCCTGCTCTGCTGGTACTAGGTAAGAATGCTGGATTTGGAAAGAGCTGTCAAATCATGCCCTGAGTCGCAATAAAAAATGATGCAAAGATGCGAAACAGTAAGATACGTTTTAGATTAAGAACACCAACTCCTTATTAGCAGTGTTTTCAAATCTGGTACCACTTACTGGGATAGCAATAGCTAATGAAATGCAAGTGGCGTTTTGTTGAATCTAAAACATTTGAAAGATTTTAAAAAATGTAAAAAAAGGATACCACTTCAGCTATTCCTCATGGATTTCTGTTGTTCATTGTTTTCAAAGATTAAATGCCTGGTCACTCTTAACCTTTCTCTGGGAATCTTTTTTTTTTTTTTTTAAGTGATAATCTAAATGTTCTTTTTTTTTCATGCTTGTTATTTTCAGATAGGTTAAGACTCACCAGAAGTCGCAGAAATGCTACCCAAAATTCCCATGGACTGTTCACCCAGCTTTCCTCAATGATAATATCTTACAAAAACATATTACAATGTCAAAACCAGGAAATTGACATTGGTACAATTATATTAACTCAAATAGAGGCCTTATTCAGATTTCATTAGCTTGTCTATGCACTCTTTTTTTTCCTCCCTCTTCTGGGAATCTTTGAGTTACCTAAATCTCTAACTGGTTATCAATAATAAACATTATATGATACAGAAACAAATCATTGACCAGCAGCGACACTTAAAATGAACAGTGCTAAAGCATAAGTCCCATCTGTTTTCACTTACTTCAAGAGGTTTCTGTCTTTAGGCTACTATATCATTCCTACCCGCTCTCCTGTTCAAGCCTCCCTCCCAAGACCAGGATTCAGATAGCAACTGCCTAAAACACGATTTGACACTTTTTAGTGTTTTATCTTTGATAAGCTCAAGGGGGTCTTGTCTATAAATTCTCCAGATGCTTTTAGGCATTAATACTGACAAATTAAAGAAACGAACACAATTTGTAAATCTAAGAGCTTGTCAAAGATAGAGGACATTTATTTCTACCTGGTGAACACCTGGGTTTAACTTGCTCAGGAACAATGAGCATCACTGTTTGGAATAGAAAAGCTAGTCTAAAGGCACCTCTCCTGCTGCTAGCTGGGCAGCAAGGCAGTTCTTTGGCACACATGAAGATGACATTTTTTCTGTGCCGTGTTTAAAACGTAGGAAAAGAGATCGATCATCACCATTTGTGACCATTAACTACATCACATGTGTTCTTTTGGTTGATTTGTTAACCATCATCCCAATTTAGTATATCATAATGAAGAATCAAAAAGTTTTACAGAAAGAGATTATGAACCACACAGACATCAATGGATAGGTGAGCAAATCATTGCTATTGTGCACAAACTGAGGAAAAATTGACCAATTTAACTAAAATTATGTAAGCTAGATTGATAGTTTAGTAAACAAAAGATGGGCAACTTATGGCTATTTTTCTAAACTACTTCAGTGGAGAAGCATGAAACCCGGGCCACTTTTTATAAACCATCAGCAAAACAATATGGACAAAAGCACAGAAGTCCATATGATGAATAATGATAATAATATAAGCAAGATTAAATTTTTTATTTTTAACTCCTGGAACATTAAACCACCATTCTGGGAGACTCTTTTACCTATTGCTTATATAGCCAGCTAATACAGGAAAATTAAAAGAGATTATAATTCATCACTAGTGGAGGTGATGGAATTCCAGTCGAGCTATTCAAAATCCTGAAAGATGATGCTGTGAAAGTGTTGCACTCAATATGCCAGAAAATTTGAAAAACTCAGCAGTGGCCACAGGGCTGGAAAAGGTCAGTTTTCATTCCAATCCCAAAGAAAGGCAATGACAAAGAACACTCAAACTACTGCACAATTGTACTCATCTCACATACTAGTAAAGTAACGCTTAAAATTCTCAAAGCCAGGCTTCAGCAATACGTGAACCATGAACTTCCAGATGTTCAAGCTGGTTTTAGAAAAGGCAGAGGAAGCAGAGAGCAAATTGCCAACATCCGCTGGATCATCGAAAAAGCAGGAGAGTTCCAGAAAAACATCTATTTCTGCTTTACTGACATGCCAAAGCCTTTGACTGTGTGGATCACAATAAACAATGGAAAATTCTGAAAGAGATGGGAATACCAGACCCACCTGACCTGCCTCTTGAGAAACCTGTATTCAGGTCAGGAAGCAACAGTTAGAACTGGACATGGAACAGACTGGTCCCAAATAGGAAAAGGAGTACGTCAAGGCTGTATATTGTCACCATGCTTAGTTAACTTTTATGCAAAGTACATCATGAGAAACGCTGGGCTGGAAGAAGCCCAAACTTGAATCAAGAATGCTGGGAGAAATATCAACAACTTCAGATATGCAGATGACACCACCCTTATGGCAGAAAGTGAATAAGAACTAAAGAACCTCTTGATGAAAGTGAAAGAGGAGAGTGAAAAAGTTGACTTAAAGCTCAACATTCAGAATCATTGGAAAAGACCCTGATGCTGGGAAAGATTGAGGGCAGGAGGAGAAGGGGACGACAGAGGATGAGATGGTTGGATGACATCACCAACTCAATGGACATGGGTTTGGGTGGACACTGGGAGTTGATGATGGACAGGGAGGCCTGGTGTGCTATTGTTCATGGGGTCGCAAAGAGTCGGACACAGCTGAGCGACTGAACTGAACTGAACTGAACTACTTTCTCAACTCTGTTTTCTCTAAGTTCTCAAGTTAAGACTAGAGTTAATAGTATCTGTTTTCACTTCATTCTTTGTGCCATAAATGCAGGCAGATGCTGTTGGGCTGTGGCATGCCTGAGTGGGAAATCGCTGCTAGGAATGGCAAGGTGAGTGGACCCACAAGGTTAGACTTATGAGTTCAAGACACTTGAAGACTACACACTGGAAGGGGCTTCGAAGTAACAGGGGAGAGTGAGTAGCTCTATAGAGACTTCTTTTTGCTCGCATTATGGGTTTCTTTTCCTCTTTGCCCTAAATAGTATTTCTGACAAGGTTGTACGAAAATATCCATGTCAACCCCGAGTTAAGGACATTGAACTAGAAGAAAATAGAATGATTGGGCATCTTAATAGTGAAGGAGATTTACAGAGAACTGTCCCTTGTGGGAACTTTAGAGTCTGCAAAGATACCAAAGAAGGTTGGGCCTTCCATCACCCCACACTTGCTCTCACAGAAATTTATCCAGCTAGATTTACTGGAATATAGATATGCGGGTGTGTGTAATTGCTAGGATCAAGAGGTCTTGTTTTTCAAGCTATAGAATTCAATTGTGAAATAGAAAGTTGTGGAATATTGCCTGAAATATAATGATTAGCTACTGGCAATCTCTTGGGGTAGGCCAGCTATGGCTACGGTAGCCTTTCTATTTGTGCTTGTCAAAACTAATGCTTATTGGTTTGTTTCCTTTTATGAAGATACATTTATTGTTTTTTTAGTCATCAAGTTAGTGATAGTTAATATATTGACTATGTAATATATTAAAAAAAAATCGGATACTGAAAATAAACTGTTCTTCATAGACCAAAGTTTGCAGTCTGGGTTTAGATACACAAGAGAAGATGCAGAGTTCAGTAAAAATGATAATAAAGGTTGCTGTGAGCGCACACAGACAGCATAGGATCCCCAGAGGGGCGGAAGGAGTGACGCAGGGCTTTCCCAAGGCTCTGATATTCTGATGGTCCTCACATGCACGTGAGTGAAATGAAAACCATCCTCAAAGGTTTATAACTGCCTCTCCTGTCTTATCCCAGCACGGTTGTTGTCTATAGCTTTCATGGCGCATGTGCATTACGTTGTCTTTTCACGTGTATTACTCTGTCATCCTTGTTACATGGTGAGCCGTTCGAAGCCGGAAACCTGCTTTTCTTTTCCTGCTTCACTGGTTACAAGTACTAATGGAGTCACGCTAACAACAAGTTTCACAGTGCCCCACCTGTGCGTCCTACGCATTGCGACCCCGTGGACTGTGGCCCCCCAGGCACCTCTGTCCATGGAATTCTCCAGGCAAGAACACTGGAGTGGGTAGCCATCCTCTTCTCTAGGGGGTCTTTCTGACCCACTGTTAGTATCTGAAAATCCCATGGACAGAGGAGCCTGTGGGCTACAGTCCATGGGGTCAAAAGTGTTGGACACGACTTAGTGACTAAACCACCACGACCTGTGTAGGGGCAGAGAACTTGATGTCCATAATTAAAATTCTTAAATGGTGGTTTCTGAATGTTCTTGGAGGATTTTTTTTGTAAAAATTCACTTACCCTCGGATTATCCCCTACACACCCATGTTCCGTCAGCCCTCTGCCCACTACTGCACAGCTCTGCAGTATCCTTCCTCCACGGCTGGCACTCACATGCCAACGACACACCAGCCCCAAGAAGGCTATCTCTCAACATTGCCCATGCCATAGGCATCCTGCTCTCAGATGCTCCTTGAGCAGTGATGGTGATCTCATTGTGGTCCTGGCATCTCTGTATATCAAGTGAAACAGTTCTGCACCTTTTATCTACTATCTTCATATGCTTAATACTTGAGGCAGAGCCTGGAGACTTGCACCATACATTTTGCTTCCATTCCCTGGCTATACCTGAAAAACCATAATCACTGCTGAATCCAGCAGCTTTCCTCCCTCCAATAAATCAGTTCATGCAAACTGATACCTGAGGTATATTCCTTAGGCTCAGCCTGCATGCCTGCTACATTAGCATCACGGCTCATGGTCATCTATGAACAATCTCTCGATCAAGAGATGTATTTACTAATTGACTCATAATGACATCTACTATGAGATGGCACCACCTAAAACCAGGCAGTTGGAAAAAACAAAAACAACTTTTTCCTGTTTGGAAACCAAAGCAAACATATGTGGTGTGAACAAAAAAATTCAATGCACTGTGCCACAAGGCTGATGATATGACAGTAATATATGTCTGTCCACTGCCACTGCCACAAATTAACTTCTCATTTCATCTCTGGATTTA